AAGCTTTGGAAAGCGGGGGCTTGCTCTGGCGGCTGTCCCTGCCCCCTTCTTTTTAAGGGGGTACTTTTTTCGTTTTTCCATTATAAAAAAAAGGCAGGCAGGGAGGGAGAAAACCCTTACAAGGGGAAACAGCCCGACCGTCCTTTTGATCTTAGGACGCGAGGGGGAATTCGATTTGATATCGCGCTCAATCAGCTCTTCATTCCCAATGAAGGGGTGGATTCTTCACTGGTGTAGCCCAGGCTAGTTTCAAATCCTGGGCTCAAGTGATCTATTCCCACCTGGGCCTCCCAAACGCTGGGATCATAGGCGTGATAGCCCCCCACCCACACCCGGATTGGAAATATTTTAAATAAATTATAGATATTTGAGGCCGGCGCGGCGGTGGGGCTCACCGCCTTGTAAATCCCCAAGCACTTTGGTGGATGCCGAGGGGGGTGGGCGGAATCACGGAGGGTCAGGACGTGGAAGACGTAATCCCTGGCTAACACAGGGGAAACCCCCGGTGCTCTCTAACTAAAAAATAACCCAAAAAATTTAGCCCCGGCGTCGTGGTGGCGGGCGCCTTGTTAGTTTCCCAAGCTACTCAGGACTAGCTTGAGGGCAAGGAGAAATGGCGTGAACCCGAGGAGAAGGAGAATAAGAGGACGACTGGGGGAGCTTGCAAGGTTGAAAGGCCGATCAAGGATCTGCTGGCCACTGCCCAAACTCCAGCCTGGGCAACAGAGACTCGTTCCTCCAAAAAAAAAACAACAACAAAAAAATAACCAGATATCGTGGGACCCATTTTCCGGACCCCTTGCAGTACTTCAAGGGGCCTGTTCTCTAAAAGAAACAAAAAAAACATATTCAGGCCAAGGCGCGGGGGGCTCACGCCTGTAATTTTCCCAGCAGCCCTTTGGGAGGCCGGAGGCGGGGCGGTATCAACCAAGGTCAGGAGACTCGAGACCACCTGGGGGGCTAACACGGGTTGGAAACCCCCGGTCTCACTAAAAAATACAAAAAAATTTAGGCTTGGGTGTGTTGGGGGCTGGGGCTGGTAAGTAAGCCCTGTTTAAATCCCAGCCACCCTTCGGGGAATAAGGGCTGAGGGGGCAGGAGAATAGCTTGAACCCGGGAGGGAGGAGGGCGCCAGTGAGCCTGAGATCGCCGCCCAAAAACCTACTGCACCTCCCAGCCTGGGGTGCCGACAGAGGGGCAAGGGAACTCTGTCTTCAAACAAAAAAAAACAAAAGAATAAAGAAAACCACGCCCCACACGGTCGCAGTTTGCCTTGGCAAGGCCCCAGGGGGAAAAAAAAAAAACCAAATCCCTTGGAGATCATTTTGTTGGCGTGAAAAAAGGATACCAATAATACCACATAAGGCAAGGGGACTGTGCCCCAAAAAAAAAAGCGGGGGTGACCGGGAAAATTTTACCCTGTGCAAAACTTTCCATTAATGAGTACTTTAATTCCACCTGCTCTACAAACATTGGAAAAAATAAAAAACAAAAAAAATTTACTATGAAAAATAATGGGGGGCAAGCTGGGCGCGGGTGGGGCTCAGAAATGTAATCCCAGCACTTTTGGGGAGCCCAAGGCCAGGCGGATCATTGAGGGTCAGGAGAATCAAAGAATTTAATTCTGCTAAAGACACGGTCGGAAAAACTCCGTCTTACTAAAAACACCAACAAAAAAAAAATTAGGCCCCAGGTGTGGTGCGGCTCGCCTGGTCCGCCAGCTACTCGGAGGGGCTGAGGCAGACGGGGAGGACAAATTGGTCTGAAACCCAAGGGGACGGCCGGAGCTTGGCCAGTTGAACCAAGGATGGCCCGACCACAGGACTCCAGCCTGGGCGACCAGAGGTGAGAAACTCCATCTGCAAAAAAAAAAAAAAAAAATAAAATAAATAAATAAAAATTTAATGGGTTGGGAACACGCGGTTGGCTTTTTCACGCCCTGTAATTTCCCCAGCACTTGCGAGGGCCGAGGCAGGCGGACTTCACCTGAGGGTCAGAAGTTCCAAGACCCAGCCGGGGCCAAAAGATGATGGAAAAACCCGCTCTCCACTAAAAAATAGAAAAAAAAAAATTAGGCTGGGGCGTGCGTGGCGGGGCACCTTGGTACAATTCCCAGCCGCTTAAACTCGGCGAGGGGCTGACGGCAGGAGAATTTCCTGAACCGGGGAGGGCGGGGTTTTGCAGGTGGAGGCCCGGATGATCGCGTCACTGCCACCGTCCAGCGCCGGGCGACAAGAGTTGAGGACTCTGGTTCTAAAAAAAAAAAAAAAAAAACCCCACAAATTAGCCCAGCGTGGTGGTGGACACCTGCAGTCCCAGCTACTCAGCAGGCTGAGGCGGGAAGATCACTTGAGTCAGGGAGGCGGAGGTTGTAGTGAGCTGAGACGGCACCACGACACTCTGGCCTGGGTTACAGAGCAAGGCTCTTGTCTCAAAAAATAAAAAAGGTTTTATTTTTTTTTTTAAACCACTGCTAACAATCACTAATGTTCACTAAAACACTAGGCTTCAGGAGCATTTGGAAATAATTCCTGACCCCAGAAAGAAACATGCTGGTGAGAGACAGTGACCAAGCCCAGGAGACCACTGTGAACTTCAGAAAAACTCAGAAAGCACAGCCAGTTTTCCTGTCTCGGAGACACCTCCTGCTCAGGATGCAGGAAGCGTGGGGCGGGGCAGCGCCATGGATGAGACGGCTCGGTGTGGGGCCTGCGGGGCCTGCTGGTGAGAGGAGGCGCAAGCTCCAGTTTCTCAGCTGTGCAACGCTGAGTGCGCGGGGCGCGGCTACCAGCTCCGACGGGTATTTGAGAATTTACCGCACTGACCTGGACCAGATGGAAAGCAGAGAAGAGGGAGAGCTACACCTGACTGTCCCCCACCCCCGCCGGCCCCAACATCTGCTTTTCATTTTCACTTCATGTTTGGGGACCATTCCGCCGCCTCATGATAGATCAGAAGTTTCAGAAAAAAGGGCCGCTGACTTCCTCCAGTCCCCTGGCCTAGTTCATCCTCAAATTGCACCATAACTGATTAGTGTTCCGGGTTCGAATGCGGACATGCCTTCTACATGATATCCCTCGGTTACTTTACTGGGAGCCGGACAGGCGGGCGGTATTGACTAAGCAGGATTTGAGAACAGCCTGGCCAACCATTGCGAAACCCTGACTCCTACTAAAAATACAAAAACTATGCCGGGCGTGGGTGGCATTGGCCTGAATCCAGCTACTCAGGAGGCTGAGCAAGAAGAATCGCGTTGGAACCGGCGAGCGCCGGCAGGTTGCCCAGCTGACCCGAGACACACACGCGACTCAATGCTCCTGGGGCAACAGAGCCAACGACCCGTTTGGGGCAAATAACAATAATATAAACTAAAAATAAAT